GAGACTACAGGTTAGGAAATGGCTTGGCACTCATCAGCAGTTGTATTTCCAGGGTCCCCCTGGAACGGGAAAAACCACCAGCATCCTCTGCTTGGCTCGTGCTCTGCTTGGCCCTGCATTAAAGGATGCTGTTTTGGAGCTGAATGCCTCAAATGACAGGTGAGAAGGAATAAGCCTTATCAAGCTTAATGAAGAAGCAAGTATCCATTTTTATTTTTAGTTGAACTCAGGCCAACTTGATAATATTACAGTAGGGCCCCTACTACTTTAATGTAGTTTTTCCAACTCAAAATTAGGCGATTTTTGGTGTCCAACTAGCACTGTAGGTATTATCACTTGATGTTTTATAAACTCGACAGGAACTGCCATGTAAAAAAATATAAACAGATGGAGGGCAGAATACATAGTAGTACTGTCTTCTCAAATTTACTTCAGAGTTATGTTTCCTGCGTTTGTGAAGATCCTCCTAATGAAAAGTGAATGAGTTATTTATAATGAACCCCTTCAGTGCTTAGGAAAAAAAAAGGGGAAGCGATAGAAATTAAGACTGTAAGGGCAGTTGGGAGTAACTGTAGGATAAGGATGTTAGGTGTGTAGAAGGCACTGACTCTTCTGCAGCAATCAGGCACTAAAGGCTGATTATATTTCCCAAATTCTGTAGCAGACACTGTTTTGAGGACATTTCACAGAGGGTTAGGAATGCAGTAGTTTATACCAGCCTTTTTAGTTCCATAGCTCTTCCACAAATCATGGCATAACATGCATATTCTAAACAGAACAAAAAAATAAAATCCTTTATTTTTGAAAGTAAGTCTTTGCTGGGACTGTTTAGGAAGGGATTCATGTTGTGCTAGCACAGCTTCACAATAATTGTCCTGGCACAGCTGACTGCTTACTTTTGAACGGAAATGAACAGTGCAAGAATGGGGAGCACAGGAGCAGTCCAGCCACTGTGGCTGCTGAATGAAAGCCATTATGGAATTTCACCCGACTGAACATAAATGACTTCAATTGTTGTTCCAGAGGCATTGATGTAGTGAGAAACAAAATCAAAATGTTTGCTCAGCAAAAGGTCACGCTTCCAAAGGGTCGGCACAAAATCATCATCCTCGATGAAGCTGACAGGTACACTGTTTTTTTTCTTGACCTTCTTTCTACTATGTGAAATGTTTTCTATCTGTCCTGCTGTCTTGGACGGTATGCGATGTTTTGAGCAGGCTATCAAAAAAGATTTGAGAGGAAATAAATGTGTATTAAACAGTACTCCTACAAGATTCCTCATACTAAGTTGTGATCATGGATTCAAAGGAAATGCTGAATATTGGGGTGAAGCACTTTGGGATTTAGCTCAGTGTAATCTTACCATCTTCCAGTTCACTGGCTGTTTTTCTCTGAAAAGAATCTAGCTTACATGGACTCTTAATTTCACTGGATAAAAACGGGACACTCTTCTCCTCCTGCATATAAATAGTAGTATTCTTAGCAGTACTCTTAAGTTTGATTTGATTTTACATGTTAACTTGATGGAGGTCTCAATAACTGGCTGAGGTTATGACTGCTGACTGGTTCATGTGCCTGCCAAAGTCTGAGGCTTGCCAATCAAAACTACCAGGTAATTTACAAAGCACTGTCCGATATCAGTAAACTCTAAAACTTGTATAAAAAATAGTCACTAGGCTGCAGCTTTAAGTCAGTGAAGGGTAAAATCTGTCCTAATTCCTTTTCTTCTTCAGCATGACAGATGGAGCACAGCAAGCACTGAGAAGAACAATGGAAATCTATTCCAAAACAACGCGCTTCGCTCTCGCGTGCAATGCCTCTGATAAAATCATAGGTAAAGCTCTGTTAGTGCCTGGGTGTTCTGGTCACATGCTCCCCATGCTGCTGGGTAACCTCCAAAGTAGTCCTCAGAACCACTTGGAGCCTGCTCAAACTGCAAGAAGCCACGGCACTTCAGGAAAATCAAGCCACCAAAACATCTCATGCTTTGTAAAACAGCTAATGAAGAGCACGTTTGCATAGCTGATGAACCTTCCAAACAGCTGTTTTTCATGAAAAGTGCTGTGCATGACTGCAGAGCGGATTTCTTCAGGCTTAATCACCATCCAGCTCTGCTACAGCTTAGATTTTTGGTGTATTGTTTACTAGACTTTGAGTCCCTTTTGTTGTCCTGCTTTCTGAAGCGCAATCTTGAAGTTTGCCTGTAGGTGAACACATTGTAGAGCTTCAATCTGTTCTTGTTTAGCAGTTAAAGTAGGATAAACATCTATATTCCAGGAAAACCAGGAGAACAAAAGAAATCATCCTTGATAGATGTAACACACTTGGGTTCAAATGAAGGACTGTGGTGCTTAAGCAGATGCTGTATTCACTCTGCTTTACGTGTTCTTAAAGTGACAAATCAAGGGTGGTTAAGAGCTTGGAAACGGACATTTTTTCTTCCCAAATGAAATGTTTTTATGTTTGTTGTTAAGAAATGCTAATTATGCATCTCTGTCCTCAGAGCCTATTCAGTCTCGGTGTGCAGTGCTGCGTTACACCAAACTGACAGATTCACAGATCCTTGCCAGGCTACTGAAAATTGTTGAAAAAGAGGATGTACCATATACAGATGATGGATTAGAAGCCATTATCTTCACAGCTCAAGGAGATATGAGACAGGTAAAAGAGGGAAGGCAGGGAAACAAAGCCTTCTGTTCGAGCAATTTTGAGTTGTGGCTCTCAAAGATTCATCTCTGGGGATATAAAGCAAAGGGGAAGTGACGTACAGCACAGGAATAACTAAACTGCTTGGTTTTGCAAGGTTTTAAAGCTCCTTAAAAGGGAATTGGTGGAAATCAGATACTGAATTTGTTGAGGAAAACAGTCTGCATGCATTTAGTCTGCTGCCTACTTGAAAACTGCGTATTTGGTGTCATTTCCCAAGAAGTGTATTTCATCCTGAGGGGTGCAGTCAGAAGCAGAGCACTTCACAGAATAACTGAAGTCTTTCTTTTCCTTTTTGCAGGCCTTAAACAACTTACAGTCCACGTATTCTGGATTTGGTTTCATAAACAGTGAAAACGTCTTTAAGGTCAGTAGTGCTGTGAAACAGTGCAGGTAAAAGTCCAACACTGTAACTGTGTGAGACCTGTCTTCAGATATACATGACTCTGATTGTGCTTTACCCCTTTGCAGACACTGATAGATGTAGCAGTGATGGCAATAATCAAAGAAGTGTGCCTGGCTTTTGAAAGGCAGGAAGTGCTTGCAGTCCCTGACAGCATGTCTAAGACTTTCTGCCTTTCCTGCTCTTTCAAAGCACGTGAATCACATAACTGCTGGGAAATTGCACACTGGTAACTTTTGAGTCTGTTACTTGAGTGCTCTCATGCAGTGCTATCGAGTCTACCACAGTAGGATTGTTATGTTATCAGAAGTGTCATACGGCTTAAAATGTAATTAATCTGTATTGTAAGACATTCTGATTCAATATTTGAACTGTATAAAAGCTTGGTGAGAACACTTGGGAGCTCAATTATGGGATGTTCTAGTATTTTGAAGTGTAATATTTGTTTGATACAGGTATGTGACGAGCCTCACCCTCTGCTTGTGAAAGAAATGATACAACACTGCATAAATGCAAATATTGATGAAGCATACAAGGTGGGTTTTGTGTGTTCTGTGTGTAGACACACCTTTCCTCTGCAGAACATCTGTTTGATCTGAAGAATTCAGTGTGCACTGCTTGCTCTTTATGAATAGGGCAAAACCATGCATCTGAATTGCTGAGTGAAATCTCTTCTTTACAGGAGTTTGTTCAGATGAATAACCCATCAAGCAAAAAAAACCACCCAAAAACAACAACCCAAGCAGTAATGAAATCACTCACTAAACAGAATCAGTGTTAAATTGTTTGATAAACAGCATGAGTAGTTTCACCAGTTGCACGTGCCTGCCTCAAAAATGGACTTGCTTGACTCAAATGATCGGTTTTGCAGATAAATGTGGGATTGTTCTTGCCTGCACAGATCCTTGCCCACCTGTGGAGACTTGGATACTCTCCAGAAGACGTGATTGGCAACATCTTCCGTGTGTGTAAAACCTTTCAAATGCCAGAATATCTGAAGCTGGAATTTATCAAGGTTAGTATCAAACTGCTTACTTATGGGGTCTTTTTGTCTGTTATAAAAAGAGGATGGGATTTTTATCGCAGGGCAAGCTCAGAGTTTTCTGCTTGCTGTTTGTTAGTGTAAAAAAACCGTATTTGTTATTACTGTTTTCTTTCTTACCCTGCATTATTAGTTTGTGAATAAGAGCACTTGACATTCAAGGTCTAACACCCCACAGAAGTGCCAGATGTCACTTCAGTGATCAACTTACAAAGAAAATGGCGAAACGAAAGTTCATTTAAGAAAAAAAACCTCGTTCTAATTAGTCTATGTGAGAATGCAATAGTCCATAGCCACAAATGGTTTTCTTAAGTTCAGACAAGTCTGAAGATAGTTTCTTAGGAGTGAGGGATATAGTGGAGCATCATCGGTCAGACCGTATGCAAACTGCAGGACAAAACAGAAGGTTTGGCATTGTTTTTCTCTCCAGGAAATTGGCTACACGCATATGAAGATAGCAGAAGGTGTGAACTCACTGCTACAAATGGCTGGACTGCTTGCCAGGCTGTGTCAGAAGACTGCAGCTCCTGCAGCAAGTTAGAAACCTGACTGAGCTGAAACCTGTGTTGTGGAAGGCGAAGGCCTGGTGTGTGAGGTCAGCAGCTGTGTTTGTCCTGAATTCTATCAGTCTGTTTTTGCTAAATCCCAGAACCAGGTTCTATCATCAAATTAACTTGCTTTTTTTTTTTTTTTTAATTTAGACAAATAAAGCTTTAAAATCTACTTTAACTCAAGCACTCTTGTACCTGTTGTGTGATTTGGGCAGAGGAGAGGGCTGACAGCTCAGGAGGGAGGAGCAATGGCATCTATTACACTCAACAAAACTGCCTATGGCAACGATACCAAGACTTAACAGCAGGAGAGACAAAATTTTCATCCCTTTGTTAATGATTACACCTCCTGACTAATCATGAGAGGTGGCCTCACTGAAGCCAAGAAGGAAAAGTTTTTGCACAGAAAGAGATCTTAATGAGGTTACAATTAAGGCATGTTGTGCAGGCGCCGTTCTGGATGTTATTTTTGTGTGATGGTAAGGAAGACATTTCACCAAACAAGTACAGAACAGTACACATTTCTTAATGCTGATTGTTTAGGACTTGTTCAGGATTAATTATTTAGGATTGACAGCTAATTATTACAGATACTACATCTATAATATTTAAAAAACATGTAAGTTCAGAGGTGCTCTGCATTTGCATTCCATTCTCTTTTCTCCATTGTCCAGATTAAGTAATGTCATTTTACTGTAGTTTCAATAAAAAAAGCTACAGCATCATGGTTTCCTCTCTGCCTGGTTTTGGAAACCACCTTGCGAGCTCAGAGGAGCAATAAAGTGTGAAATGCAGAGTGAAAACAAATATAAATTTAATGTGACCACCTCTATATCTGGTGTCAGATATGCATCTCTAAGCAGAGCTGTCTTGAAGTACCTAAATACATTCTGGTTATAGCAGTGGAACAAAGCACAGTAGAGGTACAACTCTCTGGTACCTGCCCTTCACTCCACCCCTCCTGTTGAAGATTACCACCCCCAGCATCCTGTTGCCCACACCATGTTGTTTCAGTGCCAAGCTGATCTTTACTTGCAGTATCAGCCCAGAGGCTGGCCCTTGTGCAGAAGCCACAGCTGGTTACACCCTTCATTTCTCTGATTCAGCCCCAGGGGCGATGAGTTTTAGCAGCAAAGACGTAGCATTCTAAATTGCACCCTCAAGACTTTCTGCAGCTCCTCTGGCAGAGCTCTAAGACAAAGGAAATGAAGATGATTGTCAGTTAAAGCACAGACACTTCTGAGTTGGCTCCTGAATGGAATAAGGGAAACAGTTCTTATGGATACAACACTCACAAGTGCATTCTCCTTTCACTAGGTATTAATCAAATTGGGGTAAGTTTGATTTGCTGACAGTGATTTGTCACGCCTAGCAGAAATACTGTTAAATATGTGACTTCCAGTGTTGTATTACAGACACTGCATCACAGCTTTTGTCCACAAGAGCTTAAATAAAGCACGTTATTTAGACAGTAGGCTAATATTCCCTTGTCTAAGCAGTTTGCTCTGGTGGTGCCAGCACAGGAGTGACAAACTCAGAGGATCACAGGTGCTGTTTCTGTCTGGTGAGCAGCTTTCTTTTCAGCACATTCACTCGGTGCCTTTCAGCTCCACTTTGGAGCCAGTTCACTTACAAATTAATACTCCACAGCACTGGGGGGATTTAGTTATACTCACCTTCACTTAGAAGAGGAACAGTGTCAGAAAGGCCATCAGCCTCTTGTGCCAAATCTGATTGCTCCCTGTAAGTGCAGAGCTGCTGCTTTCTGGTAGCTAGGTAAAGCTTCCCAGCTCCATTAGCCATAGTGGCTGGGCCAAAACTACGTTTCTAATGTGTCTTCTAACATTGAAACCAGGAAGAAAATTGCTCACTTGGCTGTCTCCCTGATGTGAGGAAAAAGAGCTACGTGTACCCAAGGGAGATGTCAGCGCCCTTTGAATTACTGTCAGGCAGCACAACGATCTGACAGTTTGGGTTTAGCACCAGAAATCCTTACATACCTGAAAATGAGTTCTGAAAGGACAGTTAACCAGTGAACACGTGTGTGTACCCACCTGCTGCAAAGAGAAAGCTCACGTTTCAGAACAAGACTAAAAACATCGACGAAGTTTCCCTCAGCAGTGCCTGGATATCTTCCAGCACAATGAGATCACTGGCTGAAAAGCACTTCAGGAGCTTTACAACCCTAAGGAAGGATTTGCTGCTCTCTGCAGCTGGCTGCTCTGGAGATTGGAAGGAGGGCAATTTGCTCGGACTCCCACAAAGGTGAGGGAATGCACACCAAATCTATTGCTCTGCCTGCTGACACTCGGCAGCTTTCAGATTCTGGCAATGAAGGAACCTCATTGCAGGAAAATGTAATTCCTCTAATCCCCCTCCCTGCTTAGCAAGGTGAGCAGTAAATCTTGCATTTTAATCTTTTGGCAGCACATTCACCTATTGGACAGAACATCCCAGGAGGTCTTTGAATCTACCACTGCATGCCAAGAATCTTTTAACTGCTGCTAATCACACTCCAAGCATTTAATGTCTCCCTCTGGGAATGAGATGAGCCACAAGTGGGTGCAGCATCCTGGCACATCACTGAGAATGCAGCTCACCCTTTTCCTCTAGCAGATCCTGAAAAATCTGTGGTCTGCAGCAATTGGTGAAACGTGAGAGCTTCTTCAGAGAAGCCACCAGCAATGGCAATTTCATGGGCCAGGTGCTCTGTTTCAGTAGCAAAGGCATCTCCTCATTTCCTTGGCTGTCCATGAGCCTGTGTAGAGCCAGCATGTCTGCTCCATGAGGCTGTGTCCCTTACTTGTGCAAAGTTTCAGCATTTAAACATCAGAAACCAGAGCGTGAGCAAAAGCTGAAGGGAAGGGTTGGGGCAGGCAGAAAGGCAGGCTGCTGTAGCTGCACAGGCACATCGTGCACTGCATCCTCTGTCCCTAGAGTCCCGTGGGAGCAGGAATGCATGCATTTGTAGCAGCTACAAGTACATTTCCCAAGCCAAACACCAAACCACCTGCTGCTGCAGCTACACAAAGAGTGGCCCCACACTCACAGCAATTCTGCTGAAAATAGAGCTGAGCACGAACAGCAGGAAGCACCTGACATCCTCTTCTCCCACTCCAGGGCTCTCACCCTTACCTCCACTTCTCTGCACATTCTGACCAGCCCCAGAGATGTGTGCTGTGGGCTGTGTCCCTTCTTGAAGCGCAGTTCTGAGACGGTTCTAAGGAATAAGGCTGCATGGAGCAATGTTTTCTCCCAGCAGGATCCCACACATCACCCTGGGTCACTTCTACACATGCTTTCAAGTCAGCCTGTGTCACTTCATCAGAGATACAGCACCCACATTGCAGCAAACCACTATAGAAAAACCTGGATTTTCTTTGAGGGCTTTTCAATTTTAATAAATAAGTGCTAAGATGGTGCCAGACCAATGCACGAGGGCCCAAGAGGTTACACTTCAGGACTGATGTTCCAAATCTCAAACAGAGCTGCAATTTGTGAGGCTGACAACTGTGGATCAAACCTCATCAGTCGTTGCAGCGTCTTTGTATCGTTATAAAGCAGATAAGGAAAGACAAGGAGAACTGCCACAGACACTGCGAATTACAAGCTGCAGATGAGGGCTTAATCCTCTTTAGTCCTTAGCTTTTGTAACAGTCTGGTATCTCATTGAGCTCCAGAAAAGCACTGCTGCTGTAAAAGCAACCTCTGCCTTGCCAGTTCCTCTCCTGTAGGAAACAGCTTCTGGAGGAGAGCGTAGGAACTAAATCAAAACCTAATCCCTGCCTTTGAATACCGCCGTGCATGAGTCAGCCTGACAAATTAAGTAGTTGGCTGCACTGCAGCTCGGCAATTTAAAGAATCATTTCACGCTTGGCAGGAGACAGCATTGCACAGAGCAGCCGTGTTCCCTCCAGCACGCAGGCCTGGAAGGGAGACGGGACCAGGAGTTCACAGCATGTCCATGGGTGCTGCTGCTGGGCAGGCTTTGCTGCTGGGCAGAAATTCCTCCGGTCGCATCCTTGCTGTTGGATGTCAGGGCTTCAAGCAGAGCATCTCTTCTTTTCAATGACACCTGTCCCGTGTGATCTCAGGCACAATGGGGAAAAGATGTGACTGAGGGATGGAAAACGCCTCTTGCCCGATGTACGTGCTGGCTGGGTGGGCTTGTGCAGCTCGGCAAAGGGCTTCTTCAGACTTCATGCAGAACACTTGAAATCAGAGCGGGAAACAGTGAGTCTTGTGGCTCCTGCAAACAGCAGGGAGATAAGGAAAAAGCAGGCAGAACATGCTGCAATTAGCACAGAAATGTAATCCCTGACATTTCTCATGGAAGAGAAGTGGATGCAGGGTTGCTCATAGAAGTGAGTGCTGCAGCCCTCTGCATTTTATTTCAAGGGTGACCTGGCCTCCCTCCCTCCAGACGCTGCTCAAGTTTGAAACAAGTGCTGCTATGAGGAGAGCAGGGTGGCTGTGCTTTGGATGCTGGGAGCAAACCTGAAATGCTCGGTATGGCTTCAGAAAGATCCCATCAAGGAGCCTGCCCACCACTGGTCAGTGGTGAGCACCAGGACCTGCTCAGTTTGTGCAGGTAAATCCCAGAGGCTGGAGCTGCACAGGGACAATCCCACTGGCTCCTGCAGGCTCTCAGGGAGCAAAACCATGAGGGGAGTGGAACTGGTCCCATTCCCTCTCCCAGCCAGGCTCTGGTTGGAGCAGGATGACCAGCATGAGTTACATACATACATACACCACAGATGTATGTATGAGCACAGTGTGAAGTCTTCCTGCAGCTCTTTGCAAGTGCTTTAACTTTTGGCTGTCTGCTCAGTATCAGCAGCCAGCAGCTTGCTGCTGAGAGCAGAGCAAAGCATGCAGCAGCAGCAGGGCTCCAGGGGTCCCCTGCTGAGCTCTGCCTCCGTGCTGCAAACTGGAGGGGTTTGGGGCTCTGCCTGCAGTGCGTGGCTCAGAGTTGATCTGAAGTAGTTCTGGCTACTGCAAGTTCCCCAAGGAGAAAATACAATCCTTGCCTTCCTGCTCCCATTACCTTCACTTTGACAGCAGGACAGCATCTATCGTTGGGTCTGTGTTAACGTAGTCTGGCTCCTCATCCTTGCTCTCTGCATACAGCGTGGCTAACAGGGATGGAAAGTCAGCCATCAGCAATGGGGACGGTCTTAAAACACTCCCACCATACACACTGTGTGACCTGTCACAGCAAATTCACAGATACGTCACCAGCAGTGAGCTGGGCTCTAGAGAGTGCACAAGTGGGATAGCAGCCATCACCGCAGCAACACCCAATGCAGAGATGTGCACACTGCTCTAGATACTTATTGTGGATAAAAACACCTCGAGATGTGGTGATGCCTGCATGGCCCTGAGCACAGTGCAGCACAGCAGCACTCTGCTCACCATGAGCAGCTGCTGAGGACAAACCTTCTGCTTGATGCACCTTCCAGACTTCTATTGCTGCGCTGTTCTCGTAGTCTTCTGCATCATCTGCAAGTAAGAAGAGTTTGGATGGGTGATGCTGAACAGTAAATTAGATAAAATTGGGTCTTTGAGGCTAAACCTCATTAAGGCTCACTACGAAACATGACAGCACCACACTTACCCAGCTCAGAGCTGCAAGGATCACTAATGACGACGTTCTGGTAGGAATGTGAGTCCTCATCTTTGGCAGAGAGAGAAAAGGGGAATGAGGGAAATGTGAGTGACCCAGGGGAGCCTCGGCACCTGCAGGGCTTTGTGCTTTTGGCAGCTGCCTGCAGGTGAGGCTGTTTGTCCTTTGTGTGCTGTGCTGGCTGCTGGAGAAGGGAGGGCACTGAAGACCTTACCCTTGGGTGGGGAGAAGAATCTGTTGTGGCTGTAGTAATCCAGTGGGATAGGCTCCCTATGGAAGGAAAGCTGTGCTCAGCCTCTGCCACCCAAATGCACCCTGCCCAAGGGAGAGCAGCAGGCTGGGGCAGCAGCTGCACGGCCTCCAGACCCCACAGAGCATCACCCACAGAGGTGATAAGGGCCAACAGTGCCACAGCCCTATGTGGGGTGACACAGGAGCTGTCTCGGTGACAAAGGAGATGGAAAGTGCACCTAGAGCACTTACACGTAGGCAGCATCCCCATGTAGGCAGTCCTCTGCAAACATAAAGGGATTCCCATTAACACACCACACTGCAGCACCAACCCCTGAACACCCCAGTTCTCCTGAGCATAGGCACAGTGGCCAACCCTGCAGGCAGCAAGCCCCAAAGCCAGCAAGGCAGCACTAAGCGGGGCTGGGAGCCCTAGCAGACCAGGACAAGCCCTGCAAAACAGCAGGGAGATTGGGAATTATCCCCTATTTTGAGAAGCAGAGTGCAGTTCCGTGCAGCAATAACTCTCGCTGGGCTGGTGCCAGCTCCAGGAGGGAGCCAGGGGCTGCTGCAAGCATTCTGTCCCCCCTCCTTGGCTGCTCAGCATAGCCTAAATACAGCAAGTCAGAGCTTGAAAGGCCAGCTCCCATCACAGGGCCGTCACGAGCCACCCAGAGCTGCCCACACAGCACATACCTGTCAGGAAGTTCTGGTAGCGGGGCTCAGCACTGCTCTCTGGGACAAAGCACAGGCATGTTAGAGGGCTACGAGGCAGCACAGAGATGGGGAATGGCTGGGGTGGGCTGCAGGTTGTCCACCCCTATTGCTCTAAGTTAGACTGGTGAGCTGCAGCAAAGCAGCCTGCATGTAATGCTCAGGATCCCATCAGCTGTCCCTGTGCAGACCACCACAAGCCCCATACACGGCCGCCAACAACCTTTGCACCACCCAACTTTTTTTTACAGCACAGCTCAGGGTGTGGGCACTGAGCCTCTGTTTTTCCCCCCAACCAGTGGGAGCTCCCAGCTACTGGAAGAGTTGCAACACCCGCATGTTTTGCAAATGGATTTTGCAACATCACTACGCACGGATCTGCAGCCGCTGATGCTCACCAAAGCCAACGTGACAGGAGGTGCTGAGCTCCTCGGGGGCTTTCCTGAAAGAAAGAGCTTCCTTTGTGGCTGGGGCTTGAGGGAAAAGAGAGCTAAAACCTCAGCTCTGACCAAGCATCAGGAAAAGCTCTGCCTGATGGCAACGGGAAACACAGAGGAATGCGAGTGGATGAGTTTGGGGTGGGGATGGCCATGCAGCAGTTATCAGTGCAGGGTGTTTTTTGAGCGTGGTGATGGGGAGGAGGGGATTTCTCAGGTTAAGCAAAGTGGGTGCTTCTATAGCTAGGATGTGCCCCGTGCTTTCCACCTACCTCGCCAAGTTTTTGGGTTCCTTGATCCGTTCTCGCCTTTGGGTCACAGCTAGCAGCAAGAACAAAACGAGAGCAGTGAGCACAGAGCATCCAGCACTGTGGGCTCCCCAGCATTGCAAAACATCTTCCAAACTATTCCTCAAATGCAGGGCCAGAAAGGGAAACGAGCAGTGAGAAACACACTGTGTGTACGTCAGAGGGATCCACAATCCTAATTGCTACCTTATTTCCTATTTTCCCTCAAATTCACTCAGTCTGGCAGTCTCTGGCACGCTCAGCACCAATTGCAAGATGCACTGCTGGGCTGCAAGCTTGGCTCAGCTCAAAACAAAGACTTTTTGGGGCTGTTTTGGGCAGGGCAGGGCAGCCTTGGCGGCTGGGGATAGTGACATTTGCTGCAGACCCCAGCAGCACACTGGCCAGGGCAGAAATCAAAAGGTCAGTGCAGCAAGCAGGAAGCGGAGAGAGGTGATGGCGGATGAGTCACTGCATCACCCACAGCCCCGCTCCCACAGCATGAGCAGAAGCCTTCCAGAGCCCACACTCACTCTCCCATTGCTTTAGTTGTGTTGCTTTAGTGACTCGTTCTCAAAGAAAGCATGGATTTTGGTGGGAGCAGCCCAGAGGGATCAGAGGTGCCTTCTATGTGGCTTTGGGACCACCCCTCCCCACAGGGTCCAACTCACCAGAGTAGGACCGAATCACCTCAAATCGCTGCGGGCGTTCCAGCCTGGAAGAAACAGAGGCACCACATCAGCTGAATTTGGGGCACATAACATGGAAACCAGAGTGAGGGCTGCAGATGGCCCCAAAGGGACCCTGAGGATGCTCTTCCTCATGGCCTCCCTTTGGGTCTCCTCCTGGCCTCCGTGGTCGAGGTGTGCTTGCGGCCCAGGGGCAGAAGGATGGGCTCAGGGTGACAAACCCTGCAGTGACACTTTGTGCACCAAAACATCACATCCACGCAGGACAAAGCGAGTGCTCTGCCATGGTGAGGCCTCACACATTGCCCGTGGCACCGCGAGCCCTGTGCTGGGCGACCTGACCTCCTTCATACCACGCTTGCTCCTTGATCAAGGGTTAAAAGCACTTTGTCGTTGCTGTTCATAATATCATTTAAGCTGTGGTTTGTCTGTTAGCGAAGGAAATAAGGGGGTGTGCATGGTGGTGTTTCCTTCACTGCTCATGCTGCAGCTGCAGGGCTCTGCCGCGTGGCCCCACCAGCACTGGGCATTGCTTTGCTCATGGAGCACACGGGACGAGGCAGGGTTGTGCTCTCTCTGCTTTTCCAGACCTTTTTCCAGTGAGTTACTGACTCATGGGCCTCGTGGTCACTGCTTCATTTGGGGTCATTCCTTGTGATGGTGTTCCCCTTTATCGGGATGCATCGCCTCGAGCACTGCCAGCAGCACAGCTGGGGTGCAGATGTGTATTTATAAGTGCATTCTGTATATCCTATAATATAGATACATCATAGTGGTACATATATATATATGCTATTATTTGACATTATGTCTGTCCTGGCTGAGCACTGTGCAGCGCATGCACCAGGTCCAGCTCTGACTTCTGTCTCCCAGAGAGATTTTGGGGCAAAGCACAACAGTAAAGGGAACTTACTGACTCCTCTGGTTGCTGTCCTTTCCTCGCTTTGTAGCTGAAAGAAAAGAGAGGAAAAAAAAAAAAGCTTGATGCAAAAGCGTGATACAGGCATCCGAGACAAGAAAGGGAAGAACAAACTTCTAGTGGGGCCACCAGCCCCATCCTGCAGCTTCACATCCACCATAGAATTGTTTGAGTTGGAAAGTGCCCCCAAAGGCCATCTGATCCCACTGCCTGCAGTGCACAGGGACCCCCACAGCCCCATCAGCGCTCACAGCCCCCCAAGCCTGACCCTGGGGGTGTACAGGGACAGGCACTACCAACTCTCTGGGCAGCTTGCACAGTCCTCGCACCACCCTTACTGGAAGCAACTTCTTCATTATACTCAGTCTAGATCTCCCCTCTTTTAGCCTGAAACCATTCCCCCTTGTTAAATCACACCAAACCCTATTAAAGATTCTCCTCCTTTCCCCTCCTTTCTTACAGCCCTTTATATACTGAAAGGCTGCTCTCAGCCCACCCCAGAGCCTCCTCTCCTCCAGCAGCACACCCTGCACAGAGGGAACACCTCCGGAGGAAAGCAGCCACCCATTGCAACCCAGGGTCCCCGTGCCCATGGCAGAGCCTTACCATAGAGCTGGCACCTGACGCAGGCACTCACAGCCACCCCAAGCAGCATCAGCGCAGCGGCTGCCCACAGCAGCTCTGGCTGTGCCATGGCCTGGCCTCATCCAGCCTGGAACACAGTGGTGAAAACTGCTGTCATTTCCACCCAGAACCAGCCCTGCCCTCCTTTCAATGCCGTACACAAACAGCAGTGACCGTATTTTTTGTTCAATAATCAGCAAGGCAAAAAAAAGCAACCCAAAAGTGTATCTGTATTTCCGATAGAAACAGCAGCTGGATTCTGCCCTGCTTTGCACCTTCTCCCTTCACTCATATAAAGCAATAAATAACGTTTCCCTGCCCAAGCTGCCAGCCACAGCCATGCACCCTGGCATCACACAGACCCCAGCCCGAGCACTGGGAGCTTTGTGGCCCCACAGCAGCACTGATGGCCAGGGCACACCGTGCTGCTGTGCTGCTGCTGCTCCGGTAAGAGCAGTTTGGGAGGTGTTTTGGTTTTGGGGGTTCTTCGTTTTCAGCTGTGCAAAGCTGAAAGATGTGGACAGCACTGACCTACTTTGTGCCGCTGTAGGGCATCTCCCTCCCAGATGTGGCTTTATTTCTACAGTCAGGAACAGCAAAAAGGGGTATTTCCCAAATCCCTCGCTGTAATCTGTGTCTGGTGGAGCATCATGCCTCTGCTCCCCACCATAAGCACCACACCAGCCTGATGTACACTAAATGCAAGGCAATTAAAATCTTTTTTTTTGTTGTTACAAAACCTCCTCTCATAAGATACAAGATCTCATTTCTGCTGTACCAAAAACACTTACTGAACCTCATGAGGTTTGCTGTCATTTCTAAAGCCTAACGGTGCCACGTTTTGCAGCAAGCACTTCAGCATTTGGGTAAAGCAGCTTTAATTCCCCCCCAAAAATCCACATCCCTTAAAAATGTAACTAAAAAAATAATGAAAATGTGACCCAGATGGGGAAAGCCACACGGTGCAGGCACCCAGCACATGGATGGCAGGGTAAAGGAAACTCACATCTGTGTCAGAAAGGAACTGATGGGAGGCGATGGAGTCCTTTACGACAAGCAGGAGGCACTTATCCACTGCTGCTGGGATAGAAATAAAACATCTGGAAGGCTGAACACACTTTCCTCGGTCTCTGCAGCCCTAAATGAAGGGTTTCACCCAGAGGAGAGTCACCCCAGCAGCCGGGCTGTCTGCACCAGCCATGGAGGGAGACCTGGGGTCAGCATGGGGATCGGAGCTCCCACATGTTTAGGTTGCTGAAGCAGATAGCACACAGACAGCATCCATCTGCCAGGATGCCCTGGAAGGCAAAAGTATTCCCTCCCTTCCTGAAAGTTAGTTTTGTGGCCTGCGATTCGCAACAAATGGAGGCTCATTCAGGTTGATTGGGTGACTCACTGGTGCAAAACTCAAAGAAGAGGAGAGCTAATTTAAAAAGCTTGCTTTATGAAAGGTAGCACATGGGCTTGGTGAACAGATGCAATATGCCGCTTGACTCAGTCTCTAGCATTTCTAAGAAAAGAAACACAGCTTTCTGTCTGCCTCCGTTGCACAGATTTCCAACAGAAGCCATTTAGAAATGGAAATCTCCGACCAAAGGGAGCTCCTGTGGTGGGGAGCACAGCAGTGACAGTGCTGAGCCTTCAGACAAGCTCTGAAGAGGCCCCATCTCCTGCCAGGTTTGATGTCCGCTTAACCTATCTCAGGAAAGCTGCTGTGGTATAGATACAGTCTGCTTTTGTGCAGCTATTCAAGCAGAACGTGCTTTGTTTTACACCAGAAGACACAGCTCAGTAGAACATGGGACAAAAGGGACAACTGGAATCCACACATGAACTCCCAGAGATGGGCATTTTGGAGAATTCAGTTGCACAAACGTCTCAGCTGGAAAACAGAGCACAAAATCCTGATCACAACATGAGAATGTATTCCATGGAAATACCCTGTAACTGCTCCCAGCTTCCCTTGTCTTGGGCAGCATTGAAGCCACGCGCTGCTCTTCCCCATGGGGGGATGCCAGAATAGGAACTTAGGATATAAGCAACTTGTATGCAGGTAGGTGCTCCTGTGTCATAAGTAACCTCATCTACTCCAAAGCTCCAATGAGCTCCAATGAACATGAGCCAATACCACACAAGATTATCCCATAATTATCCCCAGTTTTGCTGCCTGTAGCACCCTGAACATCGATCACAGGAGAAAATCAATGCAAAGACACGGCTCTTCTTTCTCACTCAGATCTGTGACCTCAAACACAGTAAAGTAAGAAGCTCACGCGTTCGTAAGAAGCCATTAAGTCCCAAACCAGAAGGAAAACCCAATGGGAGCAGCCAACGATGGGGTTTTGGAATGGAAACTATAGCAGTCCCAGAAGCAGGAGCCAAAAGCGGGGGTGAGGGCAGCTCAGCACAGAAGGAACCCAGAATACATCGATTTATGAGAAGAAAATGCAGAAAGAGCGTAATTAAAAATAATAATAATAAAAAAAAGCTGTGCTGCCACGGGGAGATGGGGTCAGGAGATACTGAAAATAATGCTGTAGGACAGACAAGCCTGCTTGCAGTCTCAGCTTTGCTTCCAGAGGGGTCTCAGTGCTGCTCAGGAGGCGCATTTGGTAATTTCCATACCTTGAAGCTCAGCAGACGATGGATGTGAGCAGCAGCAGCAGAGCAGCATCCAGCACGGAGCTCTTCGGGAAGAGTTTGCAGGGATGACCTCGAACGCTCATCAAAGCAGCCACCCAGATCCAGTCTGGGATCTGTGAGCTCACCGCCACGGGGAGGGGGAAAACCGGCCCATCCCCAGGCCTCTGCAGGACCCCACGCGGCGCTCAGCCCGGCCCACCTCACCGCAGCCGGCCGGCCCCTCCTGTCCCATCTCCTCGTGTGGGTGCTGGAGGTGGCTCCTCCGGGGATCGTTAGCCAGCTGCTGGTTTCCTGCCCCCATCTGAATCATTAACCCCAACATCCGCCGGTCAGCCCCGCTCCGGTTCGCACGAGCTCAGCTCCCGCAGAAGCAGAAGCGGCTCGTTTTTATGGGCTGCAGGCAGAGGAAGAGGCTCCGATAGCAAAGACTGCGCAGCAACAGCCATGCAAAGAGCTGGAGCCATCGAAGGCCACATTGGGCTGATGCCCCCCACACGTCCCACGCCAGCAAAGCAAAGTGCTTTGGGATCACTGCGGTTGTGCTGGATGTCAATGGGAGCAGGAGGGAGGCAGAGCCTCAGAAAGGGCAACGAGGAGATGGAAATGAGAGCCAACCAAGAGCCACTGCCATCCAACGCTGTAGGAACAAACCCACGTGTATTGCACAGGGCAGGGTGCAAACAGCTGGCACTGTTCCATCGCACTCCTACAGAAACAAAAGCCAACCCGAAGCAGTAGCTTGTGATCTTTTACTTCTGTTTTTTGTTTTTTTTTGTTTTGTTTTTTTTTTTCCACTTGAAACTAATAAGGAGGGCTTATGAATGAGATTCATAGATAACTCTGCTGGCTCCAAGCCCTGTCTCAGCACAGGAGATGTGTATCCTGCTCTAAGAATAGGACACACAGCAGCCCCGTTATTTATAGCCACCAGAGAGCAACAGCCAGCACAGCACACGTCCTACAACTGCTAACAGAACAGAGCAGCTGCACCAGGCCCTCCACACACACAAATGATTCTGTACAGGGAAATGTTGTTGTACTGAGATTAGCTGGCACGATGCTGCAACCTGCGAGCTGCATCCAGCTCGCTCCTACCCGGATGGTAACTCTTCTATCATGAGAATGATAAAATAATCATCTGCTTTGTAAATCATCCGTATCTGCACGTCTGGGATGGGAAACTTTGTTATCAGGCTTTCAGAGGAAACCTTGCCTTGTCAAGATAGCTGGCTGCTGCACCAGTCTGCGCAGTGATGTTTGCACTTCATTCACGACAGCGGTGCAAAAATAATTGCGTGCGCCATCCAGAACAGCTCCCAGAAGAAATCCAGGCATGGAGAGCTCTCCAGAACCAGCACTGAAACAGAGAGCAGGAGAGCAAGGCCCAGCCTTGGATCATTTGTTCGGCTTATGGCTGTGCAAGGGGTGCGACGTGATGGGAACTGCGCTTCTGCCTGCCAGTGCAGCTGCCACACAGCGGGCATTTCCAGCAGAGCCCTCCGCTATGAGGCAGCTTATGAAGTGTTTGCAAGCAGCTCTTTCTCTGTTTGAACATAAGTTGACAATAAACATAAAAAAACCCATTGCTTATAGCAGAAACATTGCTCTGAACATGCTGGAGGCGATTACAGTTCCTCCTTTGCAGATCAGAAGTTTTATTAGGAACAGTCGATGCTAAAAACATCCTGTTTACCCACTTACCGCCCCCTGACCTGTCTCACTTCAGAGCTGACTGCCTCACTGCGGACATCCCCAAATTACCGTGAGCTGCAGCAAAGGCCCTGTGTTAGGCATGGAACGACTGCTCAGCTGCAGTAGAGCAGATGGAAGCTGCCCCGTGCCCAAAGAGCAGCACTAAGGACAGCAAAGCAACCATTCAAAGCAGCAGCGTCATCCCAGCCTCATTACGCCAGCCTGAGCAGAGGGATGCCCTCCAAAGACATCAGTCCTTTTGCAGTGCTGCTCTCATGCCCATTTCTATGCCCTTCCTGACCTAACACAACCAGCCAGCTTCCATTCCCTTCATCCACCGCAATGAATTACATGAAATGCCACACTACAGCTCCATCTTTCTCTGACTTTTTCCAAGGCTTAACCATTTCAGCTTTCCTCTTTCTGTTGTGAGCAAACATCTAACACTTACCTTCACCAACTCAACCAAACCCTCTTCTTTCTTTTCCTTTTTCATATGTAGCTCATCAGCTATAGAAAGACCCTGGGCCCCAGAGGCTTTTAGCCTCCCCTGCTTACCACTCTACTGCCCTCAGGGCAGCTGCCAGCAGCTCCAATGAAGGTGGGCTCTGATCACAGACAAAACTGCATCTGCTTCAGCTGATGACTAATACTGAATGTGGAAAGAATGATTGGAAAACAATGCATGGTCTGAACTTCATTCTGCAGAAACGCCCTGTGCTGCAAATTCTGAGCAAAGTTCTCTCAAAGCTCAGCTTTGCGAGCAGAGCTACCAACATCGTGAGGATCAGCACTGAAACGAAATCTGCCTCGCAGGAGGAAGCTCTGGGACCCGAGCAGGCGTGAGCCTCGTTCTAACCAGTTCAGCCAAATTTTCATGGCCGCTTTAATGAAACTCACAACTCGGTGGAAGTTTCCCGTCCTGCTGAAGCAGCGCGAGCACGTTTTTGTGAAGGACAAGAAACAGCTTTCCTCTGAGCTGCGATCGTAGGAGCGTTTCCTTCGCTAAAGGGGAAGTGCCGCCTCCCACCGCGCCCCAGCTGCACGCCCCACTGCAAATCCGATCTCACCGCGCTGAAACCGAAAGCAGCTCTTGGACAGCCACAGATACGAGCTGCTACCACCCAGTGGAAAGGAAGCTCACAGCTCTGAGCTCCAGCTCGACCAAAACCTGCCCGAGTAACATTTGCAAAGGCTGACTTTCCATAACCCTGCGGTGCTTTAAAGCTTCTGCCCATTCTTACCTGCTCAGATCATCCACGGAGACAAAATAATTCTGCTAGATGAACACAAAACCTAGAAGGTTTGAATGCTTTTATTGGAGTTTTGTACAGCAATACAAATTGTACAGATTCGTTACAGTACAGGTTTTGCAGGGGTTCATAGAGGTACTCAGTGATTTTTTGATTTTTTTTTTTTTTTTTTTGGTTCTTTTAAAAGGAAGAGGCAAATTTTGGGAGCACGGTGACAAAACAAAACGATCTCATAATGGGAAGGAAATCCCTGCCACGATGAACACCGACCTGGTTGAAACCTACTGGGCAGCAAGGTGGCAACCAGCAATGTTCCCAGCAATGACACCAACCCTGGGGTGCTGCAGAGCTTTACACAAGAGTGCAGGAACTCACAGGTAAGCAGCATTTCTGTCAGGGTGCTGGAGGTCCCTAAAGCCCTTGGGCACACTTTGCTGCAAAAGGGACAGAAACGAAGGAAGTTAAAATCAGTCTGCAAGGAGCAGGCAAAGCCACAGAGTCACCCAGCTATGGGAAAAGCTATGGAACAGGAAACCCTAAAATGCTTTTGACTGAGTAACCTGAACAGCTACAGTAACATGAGGCCTGTGATGTACCACCTAATAACAGTGCCACTGTGACACTGTGTGCGGCCACAGCCTGATCTCCATTCCTTGTCCATCTGAGTTTTGCACAGAACAGAGCAGACGCCAGCAGGGCTCCTGCACAGCCCCTGAAGAGCAGAAAAGCTGCGAGCTGCACACGTGGAGCTTTGGAAGGACATTTCTCCAGCTGGCCCAGAACATCATCAGGATATTGCTATTACTAACGTGCACCAGGCTTGAGAGTCACTACAGGATTAAACCATTTCAGAAAGCAAAGTCAATGAATATGGTTACACTGCTTTAAATGGCCGTGTTTAGCTTGCTTTAATATCACTAGAGCAAACAGTATCACAAAACAAACAGAAAAAACTGCAGAATATATAAACGTAAAATGCATGTACCCACTAAAAGATGGCCCTCTGCTACTTCAGATACACTCAATTCCTTGCAATCGTGCAGTGGGATAAGTGGCAGACACCAGGCATACACAAGGCAGGATTCTACCAGGTTAGAACACTCCAGTCTCAGCTGGAAATCAAACTCTCCAGCCCCAGAAATTCCTTTGTGTAAAAATGAGACAACCATCACCTACAAAACTGCAAAATCCCACAAACCCAATCCAAGGGACGCCTGAGCACTGCAGTGCTGACTGACCTGCACTACAGCACGTCAGGATACCAACTAACAGCCTGTCCTCCAGAGCCTGGGATGAAGGCTTACCGACCTGCTCCTGCTGAAAGCATCCCAGCAACCATGAGATGCACTTCCACACATAGGAGTGCTGCAAGGTTAGAAGATCAGCCACCTACACCTGGCTTCAAAGCGCACTGCTTGCAGCAGGCAGACACCCCAGGTGAATGGGGACAGGCCTGGAGGAGTCGCTGCAAAGAGCTCCTGTTGAAAGCAGACAGTGGGACAAGAGAAGCTGTGAAATTTACTGGGCTCTGATGGTTGTATTTCAAGATTTACCAGCTTGATTAATTAATTACTAAATTATTATTATTATTATTTTTACAGAAAGATGTAATAGGATTTGCTCTAAGATTTTCTAGATCTTATTTCTCTTAAGACAAAGCCAGCAGCTCTCACTACAGGCAGCGATGCTCCCAGCAGGCTACGTGCTGCAGTTGGTATTGAAACTACAACAGAACTCACAGGACAGGTTGTAAAAACACCAGCACTACTCAAAATGGCCCCAGGACTGCAAGTCTTGGCTGTAACTCTCAACCACAGCTGCAGTGCACCTAACAGAACTTCAGTGTCAGCACAGCAGGCTCCTCAGTCACACCAGCAGATCGGCAGCACTTCACACACAAAGTCAGCCCTGAGGCACAAGGCTGGAGCTGCCTTTTGCTGCTGGGAGTCACCTGGTTTCCTCCTACAAAACAACCAACCCTATGGAAATAAAAGCCTTTTCAAATGTCCACATAAGGTAGAACCCAAAGGAAACCAGGCAATGCAAATTTGTGTCTGAACTACTAAAAACAGACTATGTTGGGATTGGGCTGCTTTCACTAGTAGAAAACTACTGAGTGAAAGGTCAGCGGGTAGAGAAACTTGAAGATGAGCTTTTTTTCCTCCCCTCACAAATCAGTGTCACTTCAACTAAAAAAAACCAAAACAACCATGCAGAGTAATGAAATTATTGCCACCACAGTTATGTTTGCAAGACCAACTATGAGCAAGCCTTGTGGAAGCAGCTGAAGGATGCCATCTCCAGCCAATTAGCCCTTCTGCATCTGAGATCAGCCACGTCGGACAGTCAGTGCTTGTACAGCCTGCCTCAGCAAGTCACTCCTGAGAGGGATTTGGATCCTCTGCTCAAGCTGTCAGGATAGCAAGTTTGAGGATACACAGCAGACTGAACAGCTGGAAGACTAACACTTCCCATCATTTCATACTGTGGAAAGCAGTAAAACCAGTAGGAAGGCCAAAGCTCATTTCTTCTATTACAAAAACTGAACACATGGCTTTTAACTCACCCTGCAGTATGCATGTGCTTGAAAGACATAGGGCAACAACATCAACAGTTACGTCCAGCAGGAAACAAATCAAGTAAGGTTGGGAGAAACCAGGCAGAAAAACAGCCAGCTGATCTATTCATGATGCCTTACCAAACACACCGCACTAAAACACACCACTCCAACTGAAAGCACACGTTTTGCCCTCCATCACACAGGGCGCTGCTTTCAGAGGGCAGCAGAACTCAGCTGCTGGAAAACGTTTACCAAAAGCCTTAGGAAACACCAAGCTGAACTACTTCCAAATTCTGCCCTGCAGCCTTTGCAGTAGAGCTTGAAGCCACAGGACTAAACTTGAGCTTGCTTCCTCTTCTACATGATTTTTACTTCACTGCCTCCTACAGTCTGGATTTGTCCAGCACTACAGTCTTATATTTCTTCCCTTCTTCTTTCCAACCCCCCTTATTTAAGTGTCTCTTACTTCCAAATTAATACAGTGTTAAAGAACTTTGGAGGGGGAGATGGACACAAGCTACGGCAGACTCAAATAAAGACCAGTGTTAAATATTACTTAATGTTTTCTTTTATTTAAAAGATCATTCACAAAATACCATATCCATAAATTTATTTTGTTATGAAGCAGAATGTGTAAGTGTTTGGAATTCTTTTTTCTTTTTTTTTTTTGTTCTTTTTTTTTTTTTTTTTTTTTTAAACATTTAAAAGTCAACTGTCTTGACTAGAGGTGAATTTTATATGGGAGTTTGTTCTTAAAATCTTTTCCACATTGAAGATGTAAATAGGTCACTAATTGGTTTGGAATACAACCACACAAATGCATGTCTGTCTTAAATTAATTATTAGTGTTAGACAAATGGTTCTTATCTCAGAAGCAGATTAAGTGACAGGCAGAAGGAAGGAAAGAGTAGTTCTGTGAGTTGCTGGGACTCTGACATGACAGAAGTAACTTTAAGAAGAAATTCACCACTAGCAGCGATGCTGGCAGTGAAGCAGCCATGCTTCCAAGAACTTTGGTGTGCTGGTTGTATCTGAAAGCTGTCAGCACTGGTAGTAGGGGCCCACAATTCTCATGCATTGGATGCATCCATCCTTCAGTGTTAAAGATCCAGATCCTGTTGTCAAACATCATGTGCTCTCTCCCCCTTAGCGCCAGTTTCCCCTCCCTCCTCCCACACAGAACACCCAACAACTGCAAGAAACACTTCGAGTTCAGAGAGATGCAGCAATTAGAAATGCTTTTCATCCAAACTTCTACATGAAGAGAATCTATAGCATAACTATTTCTAATCTGCCCATTTTAATGGTATTGTGAAAGCAGAGGTCTTAAAACTGTACACCACTGGGCAAAGAAATACAGGGGATAATGGCAATTACATACTGCATGGCAAAGTATATACTCCATAAAGAAAAATAAAAAAGTCAATTTTACCTGTAGAAACTTCATTTAAAAACTTACCAAACATGTAAAACCTAAAGAAATGTAAGCAGAAAAAAAGCCAGTGAGCAGCTGTGCTCAAACAGGCACAGTTTTGCAGCACTAACTTCAAGCTCAGGAGTGTAGTATCATACCATTTTGAAGTCTACAAAAAGCAATCAGCAGCACTCTGCTGGCAGGTGCTTTATCCATACTGATTCCACCCATTTGCCAGGCTTGTCAGCCAACTTTATTTGCAGCTATTGATACTTCCAGGTAACCTGTGAGAAAGGGCAGCTACCTCCTTAGCTTTATAAGGGGCTCTGCTCTATACAACTACTCATCAATTATCCTAAATGGTATTTCACCACATGGTTAGAACTGTAAATTATTCAGTTCAACTCATCTGGACTCTCCAGTTTTCCTCTTCAGAGCCACAGCAATACAGAACAAGACATGCGGGTCAGAAGAGGAGCACTGAGGAAGTGAAAGGAAACAATACAGGGTAATAACTAAGTCTAACCTGTGCTTCTAAAGTAAAATAAACCCAGAAAGGAGGAAGTGAAGCAGCACCTTTGTCCATAGACCTCCACACTCGTGGAAGCAGCCACACCGCCTTATCTACTGGCAACTGTGCTGCTTGGAAGGAAACAGAAGAGGAAACTCAGCACAAAGCAGGCACTAGATACAGCAAAGCCAAGAACATACTAAAAACCACTTGTTAACAGCTGACATGCATTCACAAGCTCTGTGTTTTCGGTTTCAAAGAGGACAAATGCCAGATGGCAGGAATGGTAAACTGCAGGGTTGACATTCCAGCAGAGCTAGTCACTCTGTACTGTCTTGCGTTTTCTCCCGCCTCCCCATTCCCTCTCAACACCAAGCTCAGTCGTGCTCCTTTACTACTTCCTCTCGGGGCTTGGCTCCACCAAAGATAGCAGAATTTGGGTTGGCTACTTGATTGAGGGGAGTACCAACTGTTCGAGGTTTGAGCTGAAGCCGGGGCCGCTGCGCTCTTTCCTCTGCAAGAAAAAACAGCGAGGTCGTAAGATTCGTCTGCCGAGGGTAGCAGCTCTAATCTCATAAAGAAAGCCACAGTGATTCTTAAAGGAAAGCTTGTGTCACAGACAGAGTTTACCTTCTGTTGGCTCTCTGAAGTCCATGGAGGATCCACGAAGCGGAGGCCCATCTCGGAAACGACCAGTGCCACCAGTTCCCATTAAGGCACCTGGTGGCCGTCGGTCTCCAGGGCGAGTTCCTCTACCCCGGCCTCCCAGGAAATCGTCGTCTTTGAATCCTGAAGAAGGAGAAGGCTGAATTTAGAGGGCACACTTCACAGTACTTTCAATCTAGATTTTTATTTGGATGACTGGAAAGCCTTGCAAGTCACTGCTGCCAGTCCAAGATGATGCAGTGAGAGCCTTTGTCTGTAGACAGGTCGCTTCACAGATTTCTAACATGTTCTGGAAGAGTCACAAGATTCCATACGAAACCACACTGTGCCACAGTCAGAACCTGATGTATTCACCTAGAGGCTCAGCCTTGCTCAGTCTCTGAGGAGGGGTCATCAAGCAGTGTTAAAGTATGTGCCTCAACCTAAACTCAGACTTAACACTGTAAGGTGAATTCAGGGGTAACACTAGCAGTACCACGAGTGCTGCAGCAGCCAGAAGATCACACTGCTCACAGCCTTAGCATGAAACCTGCAGAAATACAGCAGATGGGAAAAGAACCAGGGAGTAACGAAACTCCACAGCTTTCCACTTGTGCTATTAACTGGCAAGGCATTTACTACACTAATGAAAGAGCTAGGGAAAAAAAATGCAATTCAGACTTTAAATATGAAACTGACTACATTTCCTCAGTCTGTGTATCAAAACCCACCAAAAACTAGCTGTCACTGACTTGGCTTCCATTTCATACCAATGTCTATCTGGGCAGATTTCTCCATCATTCCATCTACATTCAATGGGAGGAAGATATTTCGATCTAGTAAAATACTGAAGTGGAATTGAATCAGTTTTCCAGAAGGCTCTTAGAAGCTGTGTTCCCATCTGAATGTTTCTGCTCCCACTTAGCATTTGGTAGAGCTGCAGGACCATTTTCTGCTACAGTGCCAAAAAGCATTTTTAAAGACTTGATCCAATGCAGTGGAATCTCAGAAAAACTTCTGTAGCAACTAAGACTTGAAGGCTAAACTTCTGGCACACAAATCATTCGTCCAGATGAAACACATCTGTATTTGAAAGCTGCCAAAAAAGCTACAAGGCTATGGAGGCTGACACCAGAATGCTTAGCTACAAAGGCAGGTTAAGCACAGCACTGCAGCAAGCTTGTTCTCTCCAGCATCATGCTTCAGTTCCATGTTAGGGCCATGGTGTGCTCTGTCACCCCTCCTTCTGCTTTGTCCATTGCACTCATGCAGAGACCAGACATTGCAACACTGCACTTGCCAACATCTCCCCATCAGAAAATGGGCCAAACCCACAATTTCAGAGGACAAAAGCACAGGTGTTAATTCCTAGTTATAAGTATCCAAGGTGATATTAACTGGAAGTCAAAAACAAACACAGTGGCTCCATCACCACCTTCTAACTCAGCAAATTCAGTTATTTGCTGCCACTGGCACGACTACAACAGACCTGAGTTTCAGGAATTGCATGCAAACATGCTTTAGAACTCTAACACACCTTTGGAGATGTCATTTGTTTCAGGACTACGGACATGACATTACATCTTAACAGGTTAAAGCCTCCACTCTGAGAGAACACAGCACCAATATCAGTTTTTCCACACGACCTGTCTGCTTCTGCTACTATTAAATAAATATTCTTGGCTTCATGCCTAAGAAATGCAATGCTTAAAACCTTGACACCACCACCAACATTCAGTGTTCTGTCACCTGAATCATTTCATAAAAACTTAAAATTAAGACCACTTCCTCTGTTACAAAGCAATTCAAGTTTCCCCTTTAAGAATTCCACTGCAGCCACAGCATATCCAGAGCTGGCACACAGTAGATTGAATCAAAACAGAAATGGGGACAAATGTAGCTGACATGGAAGTGAGAACATTTTGGTGCCTTTGAGGCTGCCTATAGAAGTGTTAATACTGATACCAGAACCGAAGTCATCTCTGGAATCCCATCCACCTCCTCTGGATTCTCTGGAACCTCCTCCCATTCCTAGGAAAAAAGCCACAATTGTGTTCAGGTCTAAAGCTGTGGGAAAGACTGATCAAGGGGACACCAAACCTAAGTCCAGTCCTTCAATATCCAATGCCAGGCTGCTGGAAGCTCTTCATTTCAGTACTGCCAAGTTCCATCGGAAAGGAACAAATGATTAGTTTATATTAACCAAAAACACGTGGTCAGGAAAGCTTCCCCACTACACGCTGTATGAAAAACTTCAGTGAAGTTAGATTTATGATCAGCAAAGCCTGCTCTCCCATGAGACACCGCTCACTTTCTTGTATCGTAAGAAAATAGCAGCAGATCAGACTCTTGGGCTTATGATTGTCCTCTGCCAGACCGTGCACACTGCTAGGGGGGTTGGTCTCACTTCCTGGGTTAGGAGTGACAGCACATTCAGCTCTTGGACACAAAGCACATCTACTCCAGGCATTCCAGGAGCGGCAGCAGCTACGTTTCAGACAACGCAGACAAATTCTCCTTCCCATACAGTCTTCATGTTGATCTGTGTGCCTTGCATGCATTAGTTCACACCAGAAGTGGTCACTACAATAGCTATATTTAAAAAGCATGCATCTAGGAAAACAGAAGTCACCTCTGTCATCAGGTCCGCCTTTTCTGAAACCAAAGCCACCTTTATCCTGTTTTCTGCCTTCTGCTATGTCCACTCGCAGTGATCGGTCACCCAAAAGCTGTTAAATAAAGAGGAGAATCCCTTCAGAGTTTGCTAGCTGGGCTGCCAAGAAGTGTGAGACTTGTGCTCACCTGTTTCACAAACCAATTGGAAATATACTTACTGCACCATCATATGTAAGAGCTTCCTTGAGTGACTCCACTTCATCAAACTCTACGTAACAAAATCCTGGAAGAAGAACTCATCAGTTAATCCCAGCATTTTAGAAGGCATTTATAAGAAGCTTCTCTTCCCAAATATCTCCCTTCTCTTTCAGCTAAGGGCAGGGCTAAGTGCAAGATGTACACGACTCCAATCAACCATCATTACAGATGAACTCATTTATAATTTATACCTATGGTTATTAACAGCTGGGGCAGCTCCTGCACAGAACTCTGCACAGGCACTACACAAGTAGGAGCCTGAGTTTCCTTCCCTTTACGTTCTCATGACAGGTGACATTTCATTTATGGGTAAGGCAGATATGTAGCTGCATATTGACATTTGCTATTAGCATCTTTAAACAAGAAGCTGAGGTACCTGCTGGTTGCAACCTGATTTTGTCACATCGCAGTGAATTCACTGTGCCTTCTCTCAGGCTCCCTGCATTAAACCCTCATCCTCTAATGAAGTCACTTAGGAATACACTACCTTTCCACGAGCTACTTCCAATGTTAGTATGATTCACTTGCTCTAGAACACCTGCTGCTCTTCTATCTACTAAAAGGCAAAGCAATGGGAATCTTCTGAGCTAAAGAAAGGTTACGCACACTCTCAAAACTTAAGATGTTCAATCTTAGGTGAGTCAGACACTTCAATTTCATTACAAAACATAAAAAAAAACACAAAGAAAGAAGGCTTAAGAGTCTTTCATGAGGGGGCCAATATCAACTTATTTGTTGGTGAAAGACCTCGTGTAAGCCAACATGTTAGTTTGTTGTTCTGCCTTTACAGCAGAGACTGAAATTAGTCATTAAAAAGATTTTGAAAGCAGATAATTTTCTCCTCCCAGTAAGCAATCCAAAACTAAAGCAATTCTGAACACTCACCTTTAAATTTATCTGTTTCCTTGTCTCTGACTAGTCGTACACTCCTTACGCTGAGATCCTTGAAGATGGCATCTATGTCTCCTTGGACAGTGTTGAAGGGGAGGTTTCCCACATAGGCTGTGAAGGGGGGCTCTGTTGGCAGCTCTTTCTGTTTGCGTGAACCAAGGCCACCACCACGAGACCTGGTGAGGAAGCACAGCCCATTTCTGAACGTGACTCCCCGCAGGGCAGGGTGACACCCACTGACTTTCTGGAAGTGGATTTTCTCCCCGACTTCTGTTAGAGGCCCTTTATCTGTTAGAGGCCCATCACCTCCACAACAGCGCTGCTCTCTGCTTTACTGTATTACCTGACCAGTACCCCAGTGGGGGAAGATGAAGAATGAACTTCCCTGTATCACGAGCCATGACGATTGCAGCAACGTAGAGCTATCCACACTGTTCACTACTCTAAGAAAAACACAGCCCAGACCAGATTTTAGGAGTAATTTATAGCAGTAAAGAAATACTTGCATGGCTCAGGCCTATCCTGAAGCTTACGTGGCAACAAAGCATTGAATCAAATGCCACGATATCATCAATTCCACGATAGTTTAAACATCTTTTGACCCTGAAAAGTCACCGCAGGGATCAGCTGTCAGATATCTAAAGGCTGCCTGATCTGCAACACACGCTGAACAGCTTAGCTGAACAAGACATTCTAAAGGCAGAAAAACCCAGTTTAAGCGGTGCTGGATGTTTCCTTCTTCCTTTGCGGTTCATGAATAAGGCAGAAGAAAACAAAGTTGTCTTTTCCCACCCTTTCTCAGCCTCACTCCGTTAAATCCATCAGCACTGGCTGCTGAGGAACTAGAGAAGTGGCAGCTAAATTCTTCACCGCATGAATGTAACACATCTGTGCTCATCTCCCATGCAGTCTAAGCATCCAAAGATAACTTTGATCTCTATTACAGAGAGCAAAGGCCCTTAACTCACAGCTCCTGCATCTCTTGACTGCAGGATGCCCCAGGCAACCCTGCAGTGCCATCTGTGTTGCCTAAGCAGACAGTTATCTGAGATGCTTCCTTTCACTCTGCCCGCGTTCTCTCCTTCGGTACCTTGTTTGTACTGGATTTTGTTCATGGCTGCTCCCTTTCCAAGGCAGTCACTGTGCATTTAAAAGGGCACTGGAACACAACGTGTATTAAGCCAGGCTTTGCTAGGATGGCAAGGACTAATTAGATTTCTGCAGAGGATCAAATATTATTCTGGCTAGTTGCATGCAGCCAAAAATCCAGAGGACAAGCAACGTATTTGTCCACCTTTTTTTTTTTTCCCCCCTTCTTCATTCCAGAATAAATATTTTATTGCAAATGAAGGACAATGTTGAAATCTTGGATAAGATTCCTTAACTCCTGCAAGGCAGGTCTGTCCTTTGTGCCTATTGGTGCTACCAGGCAGGAGCTGCCCCCAACAACACCAGCGTGTTGCTGCATGTACTGGAGTCAAAACTTGCATATCTTTAACTAGCATCTACCCAGGTTCATATTGAAGTGCTTTTGACAATATCCCATATCTGCCTTCCTCTTGTTAACAAACCTAAAACACACTCGAGAACCAAAGCTTCTGTATCTGCATGCTATGGATGTATATCAATATTTATTTCAGCCACATGACTGAGCTTTAAGAAAGAGCTCAAGGATGCAGAGCTGCTCGAGGGAGCTCAGAAACATGCAGAAGTTGCATGTCTTTGTCCTTTATTTTCATCAATGACCTCACAAACAGCCATTAAAATGCCATACATTTAACTGACAGCCTAAAGTCTCAACTTTTAAATCCTTCCACCACATCAAAATTGCTCAGGCAGACTTTCACCATTTTTATTGGGCTGCCAATCATCCGGCTCAGCAAGCTGATTCATCTGAAGGCCCATCCTAAAGCTATCAACAAGGTGATCCAGCCAGCTGGAAGGCAATGTGCCAATGCAGGAAGGAGGGTATCAGCCAGGGCTCCAACTACAGCTATCTCCACTTAGAAAGTGGAATTAGCACGGAACTGTCCTAGGAAGGCCTCAGTTATGAAATAACTATATATTTGGTGTCCTGGATCATTTGAGGAACACCAGTGGCCACACAGGGTTTCAAATAGCAGCCTACAAGGCTCGTGTACAGCCTCTACTATTTTTACAGCACCAGAAGAAGCTGTTCCTACACTTTGCTGCATTTTTTCAATGCTGAAAATAAATAAGGCTGAATCCAGGAACCAGGTAAGACTGCAGCAATGTGCTCAGTTTGTAACAAATACAGTAAGTCCACCATAATTAAAAACACCCCTGAACTCAGTGACCTGGGTCACACCAAAGTACTCACGCCCGCGTTTCCCACTCAGTGCAACCCTTGCTGAGACACAATGAGGTAACAATGACATCATCTGCACAGGAGAAGTGAGCACATGAATATATTTTTCCAGAAAGCCAAGAAAGTTTGTTTCTAGCAAAGGCAGGAAGAAGCACCTCTATAATCAGGTTACTTTTTGGTGGACTAAGCCAGATGACCTCGTAAGGCCAAAGTGGAGTAAAGGAGCAACCAAGCCATGATTCTGAAGGTACTCTCACAATGTTCTGCTGCTCTTTTCAGAAAATCTGTCAAAAAAAATTCAACTAGACATATTTTGGAGAGCTGTTACTTAATAGCTAAACGAGAGTCTCACACTTCTCTCTCTGCCTTTTTGATGAGAATGCTTTACACCTTTTTGTTATTTGTGTTAACTGCATATTTTCTGTCTGAAATAAAGTCACTTGTAAATAAAGAACTACCACACATCTCAAGTACAGCAAAATCCCATCCCATCAAGTCACAGACATCTTCTGTCGCTCTTCCAGCGTAATTCTGAGAAATAAGAGAACAGGGCAGATGTCTCAGGGATGCCAGAGTTTGTTGGGAACTGCCACTTCATATCTGTCACACTGGTATCTCACGTTAACTCTTCATGCAGACCAAGGTTATGAAAAATGCAGCTTTGAGAAACTCCATCTCAACTGAGCTCACCCCGTTCCTGCAGTCCCCGAGCCCTCAGGAATTAAAAAGGATTCTTTAACCAGAACCTTCAAGAATTAACAGCCATGTTTTCACTATGCTACGCATTATAAGACCTCACATGAAGCAGAGGGAGCTATTACAATCTTTGAATCAGGTGCTAGTAACTTAGCAGGGACGTCTGCAGAGGCATCTACTAATTACTTCAACTTTGATTCAGTAAAGCACGCATCTGAGCCTTGCCTGAGAGCAAGTTTAAGTACTCTCTTCAAGAAATCTGAATATGAAAGGCACATTTTAATTTCAGCTTTATTACTTCATGCTACACGCCTACAGTGACAAGGGCAGATTCTACAGCAGCATCTGAATTAGTTACGAGTGTCAAATGCCACTTCAGGCTGTTATCATTGTCAAAGCAGATTTCTAAGCAGCTGTATCATCTGTTTGCTCTGGGATGTCTCCCCTTTAGACTAAGGATAAACACATACAGAACAGCTAATTCAGAAAGTTTAAGTACTGCTCTGCCCACATACAAAAACTCACCCCTGTGACCTCAGCAATACTCCCTGCTACCTGAACTGCCAAAGAGGTGAAACTGATTTATTCCTTTAACCACAGAGGAGGATGAAAACACTGTTTAGAAAGCGCCTCTTGAAAGACTGAGCTATAAAAGCAGCATACTCATTAACACTTGCTTGCAAACAGTTTATTTCACAGTTTTATGCCTACTGTTTTAATTTAGTGCACACTAACTTGCACTGCACCAACCTTCAAGAAACCTGAGTTTCCTAACCTGATTTAAGGCAATCTTCCAAATCGCTATTGCTTTTTGTAGCCCACTTTCCACTCCTCCAACACATCCAGCCTCCACCGAAGTCACAGAGCCGAGCTCCGTTGCTACGGCTCGGTGATTTCGAGTCACCCCGCGCCTCGGTGCCGCGTGCAGCTCACGGCGCTGACCAAAGCGCCCCGCCCGCCACGGGTATCGCAGCGCCACCCGTTCCCGGGGCTTTTCCATTCTGCCGGCTCGCGGCCTCCCGTCCTCCTCGAACCCTTCATTCGCGGGAAGCTCCGTCCTCCCGGCCCAGCCCTGCAAGAGCTCCGCACGGCCCGCCTCGGCTTCAGCCCAGCACCTCCTCGTATCCTGTATTCCTTGTATTTCATCCCCTCCCCCCGCTCGCCCCCGGGCCGGCAGACACGCACTGCCGCACACCGCGTCCTCCCGCCCTTCCCCGGAGCTCCGAGCCGCCACACCGCAACCCTGGCGGCACTCATCCGCCTAACCGAGGTATCGCCCCCACCCCATCCTGGCCCCCCGCGGTCTCGGCCCCCTCCACCCGGGTTAGACAACGAGGGGAGCCCATGAGCTCCCGCAGGCGGCATCGCCGCCCGTCTGCCTCCTCTCCCGCTATCGCACGGCGCAGGGGCCACGCTAGGCCCGGCCGGGCCGCGCCCCCTCCTCCCAGGCCGGGGTCACGGAGCGCCTTTCCCTGCTTCCTTCTCCGCTCCCCGGGGAGCTCCCGACATTTCCCGGCGACCCAAACCCCGCCTCCGCCCTCCCCCCCCGGCGCCTCAGCTCACCCCCGGCCGCCGCCGAAGCTGCTGTAGGCCCGATCGTCGTAAGGATCGAAATCCGCCATCGCCACCTCAGCCTCCACCCCGTGCGAGCGTGACAGGACCGCGCCACGAGGACCCCGCGCCGCTTATATACGGCGGCGCGCGCGCCAGGGCTGCCCCTGCCGGTGCCTGTCTGCAGTGCCGCGCCGGGACGGGCTGCCCCAGCCGCTGCCTGACAGAAAATCCCAGCGCCCCGTCACAGGCGGGCGGCGCGGCGCTGCGCCTTTGTGCCGTGCGGTGCGGCGGTTCCGCGCTGCGTCTGGGCGGCTTTGCGGGATTCGCGTGTCGGGAGCTTTCGGTACGAAGTGAAAATCGCGCGGGTGATTAGAAATAAAGGAGTTGCGCTGTTTGTTTGTACGTTTGCGGAGGCTCTGAGTGCTTCGGGTCCTCCATCTCCACCGGCGGGCGCCTCGGGGCCAAATCTGACCCACGAGGGCACGGCGGCATCCCTCGATAAGGGGAGGTCCGCGAGTAGCGGATCCCGTCGCTCGGGCAAAACCGGCGGCCCCGCGACCGCTCCGTCCCCGCTGCCCCGGAAGAGGCGGAGCGGGCGGCGCTGCGGCGGCCCCACGTGCGGAGGAGCGGCATGGCGGAGCCGGGAGCGCGGCGCGGCGGGGCGGTGCCGGCCGATCCCAGAGGGGTGCTGCGGAAGGGCCGCGCTTTTCTCGATCTGTTCTGGGATATCGCCAAACCCGAGCAGGACGTGCGGCTGGAGGCTACCGAAAATCTGCTGCGGCACCTGAGGGACGGCGGGGAGGTGAGGAAATGCGGCTGGGGAGCGGCGGGGCTCCGAGCCGCTCGGGTCCGTGCGGGGCGGCTGTCACCGCCTGGCTCTGTTTCAGGATGAAGAACTGAAGTACGCCTTGAAGCGCCTGGTGGAGGGGCTGGGAGCCACGCGTGAGGCTGCGAGGCCGGGATTCAGCTTGGCCCTGGCGCAGGTTAGTGCGTTGGAGACACAACAGGATACTTTTATTTCTTGACTTAGAAGATGCAAGGACGTTTTCCTCTGGTATCACACACGTTGTGCTTAAAAGTTGCTTGCTGTGGCCTAATAAGTGAGGCAGAGACTTCAGTGATGAGGCTGATGGTGAAAAATAGGGAAGGAGTAGGTGGGCATTCGACCATCCTACATAGCACTGAGGGTGGGACATTAGCACTTATCTATGAGAGAAGAGCCTCCTATGAAAGGAGGTTGGAGCATGGTGAGGATCTGTCTGCTCCCAGGTGACAGCGATGGGATGAAAGGTGATGGCAATAGCACGCCGGGGGAGGTTCAGGTTGGACATTAGAAGAAATTTCTTATCAGAAAGAGCTGTGATGCATTGGCACAGCTGCACAGGCTGGTGGTCACTGTTCTGGAGGTGTTCCAGAGCTATGGGGATGTTGCACTGAAGGACGTGGTCAGTGGGCATGGTGGGGTGGGTTGGGGTTGGACTTGGGGATTTCAGTGGTCTTTTCTCTGTGCTGTTTAAGTCTGTAATATTGTAGACGTTGAGTCTATAATTATAAGTCAGTGAGTTCCTGCAGTGACGGTCCCCAGTGGGATGTGACCCAATCTCACCTAACAAGCTGGTGATACAGCAGGGCCTGTTTTCTTCCCACTTAGGTCAAGGTCTTGCTGAAAGGTTTTGTTGCTTCTGTTACAGGGTCATATGATTGCAGCAAAATGCTTTTATTATTAGTTATGCTAGGTTGGGAGCTTACAAACAGGAGGGGAATCAACTCTTTGAAAGGGTAGGTAGCAGGACAAAGGGAAATGGCTTTAAGTTGAGGGAGGGAAGATTTAGGCTGGATGTCAGGGAGAAGTTCTTTACCCAGAGAGTGGTGAGGTGCTGGAACAGCTGCAAGAGATGCTGTGGATGCCCCGTCCATCCCTGGAGGTGTTCAAGGCCAGGTTGGATGGGGCCCTGCGCAGCCTGGGCTGGAATGAAACGGGGAGGTTGGTGGCCCTGCATGTGGCAGAGAGGTTGGAGATTCATGAGCCTTGAGGTCCCTTCCAACCCTGGCCATTCTGTGATTCTGTCTGCACTGGTTCTAATTCTAGTTCTTCTCTATTCTACTCTAATGAAGTAGCACATCTGATGCTCAGCCCCGTTTTGGCTGAACTTGGTAAATCTTCATAGAATGCAAGAGTTGCCAACTGGGCTGTCTCATCCATCTCCTTAGGTTTTGCAGGCTTTTGAGGAAATCCCACTGTGCAGTGTCCTGGAACAGATAAAAGAAAAGCATAATCTTGAAAAAGTGAAAAAGGTGAGTTTTTTTGTAGCAGCACTGGCCAGCAGCTGGTTGTTCTCTGCTCTTCGGGAGTCTGAAATCTGGACAGTGTGGCTTTGGGGTTCATGCAGTGAAAAAAAGGGAAGTTTTTCTGAAAGCTGAAAATAGATGGCATTGTTGTCTGCCACTGTTTTAACTGAGATTTGGCCATGTGACAGAGAGATAATCAATGACAGGCACTATTAAACATGGTGCTGGAGGTTGGTTTTGGGTTTCTTATCTTCATCTGGCAGGATGTTCTAGGCTAAATCTTCCAGCCACCTTGTTCCACAGATCAGAAGCGTAGCTGAATATGAGATGTAACTTCTCAGGGGGTTGGGTTTTTATTCCGCTATTTTTTCCTTTTCAGAAACTTGTAAGAAATGCTGCTTTTGGAAACTTTTTTGGAGTTATGTCTCTGTTCCAATCTGGCCGGCTTGTCAAGGTAACATTACCATGGTTATTTTTGTTGTTTGTCAGCAGTGGTTCTAGGGCTGCCTGAAATAGAGAGCATGTAGAGGGAAAGGCTGCGAGCCTTTGCTTTTTGAGTTGTCTTTCTTTTCTAGGACCAGAAGGCTCTGCTGGAGAGCATCCAGCTTCTGCAGCAGCTGGCACATCACCAAACACACCTCCGAGATCTCCCTCGCAAAACCCTTGTTGACATTTTGTCAGAGGTATGGCCACGGCCTGCGGTGGATGGGAGGAGGGAAGGCTTTGCTTTGGGAACTGCTTTTTCATTTGTTTGTTCTTAGCTAAAAGTTGAGGGAGGGTTATGGAAGAGTAAATTTAAACTGTGGGAGCAATGTTCTAAATTGTCTGTGAGCAGATGCTTTTGTTCTGGGAAGGATGCTCTGGTTTACTTTGGTCTGACTCCATCATGGACAAACCCATGCTTACTAACAACATATTGTCCCGTTCCGTGTGGTTCAGCACCTGGGGGACTGTATGGCAATACTGGACAAAAACTGTATTAATTTTGGTTGCATCACCATAAAGATTAGTTGTAAAGTTTTTGAAACACCACAGGCTTTTTGTAAAACACTGTACAATGCAGGTGTTTTAATATACGACACAGCAGGTTAGTAAAATGCCCTCAGATGTTTCTCACATACTGTCAAACCTTAATTTCTGTCCAGGTTCCTGAAACTGTGTTTGAGGAGGTGCTGTTTGGCATCTTGCAAGCTGATCTGACGTCAGCCTTCAAATCTCCAGAGAACCTGCACCTTTTACTAGTGGGCATGCAGAAATTCCCTGGTGTTCTAAAACCTAAAAAGCTAAAGAAGCTGTTTGGCTCACCTACTATTGTAAATGAAGAAAATATCCCCAGGTAAGTTGTTAAATGACCACCATTAAATGCAGCGTTCTTGGTCTCTTGGCTATCTGTGAGAGAAGTATGACTTTCCCTCTGAAACCTGCCTGTATTTACTACTAGGAATGCTTTTTAACTTTCTATGTATGTTGGGGGTTAAATGCTGACAGCTGTGCATTTATTATTCTGAACTATTAAATTATAGTTCTGACATTTCTCCTGAGGTGTTTTGCCTCTGGTGATTAGGAAATATTCTGCCTTGTTCAGCAGGATGAATTTGGCCTTCAGCAATTCCCTTGCAGGCTTGATCTTTCACACCTTGCTTTTGCTTCTTTTAGGCTTGTAGAGCTTCTGGAAAGTGCTGCCAAGTCAGAGAAGAAGGACAAGAAATTGCCCAGTGTTGGGCTTGATTTGCTACAAGTGTCGTTGAAGGAAGGTGCCTTTGAACTGTTTTGGAGTGAAGCTGTGGAGAATGGGCTATTCAAGGAGAAATCAGGACCTGTGAGGTTTGTTTTAATGTGCAGTATTTATTGCTTTCCTTAATATCCTTCTGTTTCTTGCCTCAGTCTTTCTGTTGCCCTGTGGTAGGATGGAGCAGATGTTTTCTGATGAACAATGTGAAACATCTTGTTATTTAGATATTCATGAAAAACCTTACAAGAATCCACAAATTATCAGTGTGATTTCTGCTAGAATGGGATGCATTAAAATGCCTGAATATTATTGGTTTCCTTTGGTTTGGGTTCTGACACAGTCTGTATTTTAGTAGGTTGTGACTGGGATTGAAGTCCTAGCAGTAGTTGTTTCAGTTTCTTTTCCAAGTCTAATATTAGATCTTTGCAGGATTCTTAGATTGTCTCCTGCAACTCATATTGTACAAAAATAGAGCAAAATCCTCAATATATCTATTGAGGATCTATCTAACAGTTCTTGAGCCCATTGGACAAAAAAAAGATTGGTAAAATTTGACAGCAAGTTGCAAAAACACATAAATTTTTGTTAGCCCTGTGGAAATGAATACATGGGGAGAAGAGAACCAGCTAGTGGGTTGAGGAAGGGGCTGCTGGTGAGGACTCATCTTTTTCTAGGTGGCAGAGGATGTGGTATGGGGAGAAATCTGAAAGCTGTGCTAGGCAGTAGGAATATTTTCAACACTAGGATTTTTGACTTCAGTCTTTGTGCGTGGTCCGTGCAGCCTGTCCCCATCACTTATTCTGTCATACAATCCTAGAATGGCCTGGGTCAAAAAGGGCCTCGAAGATCATCTGGTTTCAACCCCCGTCTCATCTTCCTATGTGGCTTTGTGACTTTGTCTCTATTTGAGAGAATCTTCTTTGTTTCTGCTCAGTTACATGTGCTACCGGCTGCTGGGCAGTGCTCTCCCATTCTTGTCTCTGGATCAGCTGCAGATGGTTCTCAAAGGAAGGGTGATGCAGCACTATGGAGAACACGTTGTAACAACTCAGGTAGGTCTTCTGGAGGTACTCATGTTCAGGGATAAAGGCACTGTTCTGAGCACAACTTGCCCCCTATGTT